ACTCAAATTGGCTTTGTATTTAATTGTCTTTTTACTTAAAGTAAGGAAGTTTGATCTTGTTCTCCTTAAAGGAGAACCTATTTCTCTCTGTTATGCTAAATTTTAGTCTTTTGTGGATTTGCTTACAATTTAAGTTGAGATATGGAATGTTTATCCCAGAATAGGATAAGTTGTTATTTAGGGTAAAATTGTTGTGTATTGGAGCTTGTCTTTTGTAAAGAAGAAATAGTCTCTTTTTATTATGTTAAACCTTTCTTTTACTTTGTTTTTATTGGGATATTGAGACCATTTTATGCCTTTCAAATGGGATTTGTTTTAGCTAAGAGTGGAGATGTGGAATGTTGAATGTTATATATGTTAACTAATGTTAATTATTGGAGCTTGTCTTTTGTAAAGAAGAAATAGTCTCTTTTTATTATGTTAAACCTTTCTTTTACTTTGTTTTTATTGGGATATTGAGACCATTTTATGCCTTTCAAATGGGATTTGTTTTAGCTAAGAGTGGAGATGTGGAATGTTGAATGTTATATATGTTAACTAATGTTAATATTTTAGAGCTCTGTTTGGACTTTTTGCTGAGAATTGGATAGAAGAAGTTACTTGATTTGCCTATTGTTAAGAGATGGGTATGGGATGAAGAGTTGTATATTAGCTAAATAAGAAGAGGCGAAGAGATTATGGAATTGTTTATACTTATCATATAGGGTGGGGATGAGGGTGGGAAGCTGCTTTCTTGGGGGGAAGGGTTTTTTTGTTTTCTTACAGTTTTTTTTTCTTCTTTTTTCTTTGCTTGTATTCCTTTATTCTCTCTAAAACTCTTAATAAAATTATTAGAAAAGGATCAGTGGGAAGAGTTTTGGAAAAATAAAATTTACTCCAAGCTATAATTTAAAGGAAAATTAATATGAATGTTTTATAGATATAGGTATATAACTCTGTTGATGATTGCCAAGACAGACAAATCATATAGTAATAAATGCTGGGAATACCATGACAAAGAAGGAATGTTCTATCATATGCAAAAAAGTTCAAAAGTACAGGAAAGAAATATATCAAAACATTCAGAGAATTTTGAAAGTAAAATTTGAATTGACATCAAAAATATTTTTAGGAATGATTCCAGAGAGTATAAATGAAAAGTATGACAATTTATTGAGTTATATGCTGATGGTGGCAATTTTGGCCTATTTTGGAAAAGAGAAACCTTGCTGGCAATATAAGATTGAGAGACCAACTTTGGAGAATATGTAGCAGTGGAGAAATTGACTATATATATATTCACAACCAAATTCAAGTATGCCTTTCAGTGTACTGTTATCATTTCCGTTAAAATCTCTAAATACTCTTTACAGCATTCCCTCAGTTCAGTTTCATCCCAGATCATTTCACTTTTATTTTTATCCAAGTCACTCTGTCAGAAACTCCATGTCTAATCCATTTCATCCACTTCCTCTTGCACTTTACCATTCCACCAAACATCAATTTTCATACTTCCCATAAGTATAGTTTCTCCACCATCTCCAGCACTCTACAACATAAAATTCTTTTTACTCCATTCCAAGCAGCTTCTACGTCCTTTCCTCACATCCACTTACTATCCATTCTATTGGGAAATTATATGCTCCTTTTTGATATAGGACTTGTATTTTTTCTTCCTTCAGTTGTTACTCTTGTTTCTTTTACTACTTTTTTTAATGTCCATTTTCCCCTGATCCATTCTTGACCGTACCAAAAAATGATTGATCCTACATTCAGAATATCTAATCTCCTTCCATCCTCCACTAATTATCTCATCTTTCATCATAAACAATCAAAGCAGTCATGTTTGTTGATTTATTCTTTTTCCATATATATATGCATGAATAGACATGCTTAACCAAATATTTGAAACAATCCTTTTTTTAAGCTGTCTGACAAAACAATCACTATTCTCATTCATCTTTGGGTTTGGAATTAGCCCAAACACTTTTTCTGTACTCTTGTTCCCATCTGCCCATTCACTGCACTTAACAAGATTATTTTTCTTGTGGATTGTATTAATTCAGAATGTTATACCATTTTTCTATAGTTATCCCTTCCATTATCATCTTTCACATTCATAACATATTGTCACCAATATATGAATCCCTTAAGCTTAGATGACACCAATTCATGCATTTGATATTCATTTCAGTCCTTTCATGCATAAACCTACACCTTTAATTTCCTGCATGAATTCAGCAATATCACTTACAATATCAGACTATTTTCATTCTAATCTATTATATCCTTCCTCTTTCTCTTAGTTTCACAAACATGCAATGTACTTGTTCTGCTTTCTGTCCTGTTATTTACTAACGCTTACTCTTTACCATTTAATCCTCTAGATTCCAAGCCAAAATTTTCCATATGTTATGGCAGTTGCCAAATATTTAGCTCTGCTTCCATCATGCCTTTGGTCAATCATGATTTTCAATAATGCTTTTTAATAAGATAAAGAATGTGGAGATTATATTACCTGCCTTGGTTGTACCTGTGCCTCATGCAATGTTATCTGCTCATGGTAAGGACAGTACCAGACAGTTTTTCCATCTTGTGGCAGCATGCCATAAGTATAACCAAGGCCCAGTTTTACCTCAAGTATTCTCATTATTTTCTGTGTAAGGTAGGATCTTTAATGTAAGACTACCTTGCAAGCCAGTATATGGTTACAGCCAGTATAAATACATGTAGTGTATTTGTATACTCAAGTTGCATACCCGAATATATACACTGGTCCCAAACATTATCTGTCCCTCCCTAATCACTTTGTATTGTTGATTTCTGTCTTGTTGCTATTTCTTGTGGTTCTAATAAGGTCTGTGATGTGGAGTGCGTGTGTGTGTTTTGTTCTAAGAATCTTGGAAAATGAAATTAAAATATGAACAGAATTAAGCAAATTCTGTATCATGGAAGATATAGAAGATGGTTAAATAATTATCAGGGCATATATTGGAAGGCATTTCAAGAAACAGTAATTTTTTTTCTCAGGATGACTCCAGAACTGTGTTCCATATTTCCCCCTTAACATAAGGTTTTGAACACTATATGCTTGATTAATGAAAGTCCCTATCTTATATTCCTACATTTTCAGCTTACGTAAAGGATACCCACTTCTTCTGTATAGCTCTCCAACCCTATTCTGTCTTGCCACTGTTGTATTACAAACCTTAACCCTGATTTTTCTTTTTTGAACACATTCATTTTTCATTATATATTGAGATACAGTCCAATACATAATACACATTTCATTATGATGGGAATGATTGCAAAGATGGTCATTGCCATTCCAATTTAAATTTTTTTATATCCATTCATAACTGCATTGTTTTGATTTTGCTTGCTTACTCATTCAAAATTTGAAGTTACTAACCATTGGCTTTGGGTGCTTTTTCTGAAAAACAGCTGATCCTTATCCTTGAGAAATTTCTAATAAGGTTCTTTGATTAGCCTAAATTTGGCTAGAAAATATAGTTACTTTACATAGCTAGCCTTCTTTGTTTTTCTGAGTGCCTTCGGTATACCTAACTTAACTCAGCATTTTGTCTTCTTGAGTGGTAGAGTAGGTTGATATAAATCTTTGAAAAACTGAAGAAAGATTAAACTTGTAGAACAGAAATTTGTCATATAGCATTTTTCCTGTAGAAATTGAGTATGTACCTATTTCCAGCATAGGCTTTTTTTTTTTTTTTTTTGGTAAACCCCACCCTCCAACACACTGCATTCTTGTAATACTAGTATATAGCATTTTTCCTGTAGAATTTGAGTATGTACCTATTTCCAGCATAGGCTTTTTTTTTTTTTTTTTTGGTAAACCCCACCCTCCAACACACTGCATTCTTGTAATACTAGTAACTGGGTTGATTCCTGGAAAAAATGCATCTGCTTTAAAGTATTGCAGATGGGTGTGGTCTGAAGCACCTTTTAGACAACTGGAATTACTGCATAGCCCTAATTGATTTAAAAAAAAAATGCTGTTCTGTTTCAAGAGAACTATTACTTTGGGTCATTATTGTTCCAGTGTTCCCAATACAGAAACTGATGAATAGTCTGATTCTGAGTCTCTTTCCTTTATATGCAGATGCAAGGGCAGTCAGCCTCAAATGATTCATCAGTGAGCACACCATCACAACTTCTGCAGCAAAATCAACTGGTAATGATGAATGATTGTTAGCCATATAATTTTGTAGATTGAGTGATATCCAGCAAAGTATTTTCATAGCATTTTCAGTGTTTTTCTTCTGGCTCGATACTCTAGATTCAGAAAATTGATATAGCGGATATGGAAATGAATTTAGGAACTACTAACAACCAGTAATTCTAGGTTTTGCACATTTTTTCACTGTTGACTCAGAAATAAATATTTTCTACAAGTAGTCCTCGCTTAATGACCATTTGTTTAACGACAGTTCAAAGTTATGATCACCTTGGAAAAAGTGCTTTACGACCTGTACTCACACTTAGGACTGTCACAAACCATCGTGCATGCCCCCGCAGTCACATGGTTGTGATTTGTGACCTTTTTTACGTTGGTTGTTCAGCAAATCGCCTGGCCATTAAGTGAAACATGTGATTGTTAAGCGAATTGGGGGAAAAAATCCATTAGGGAAGCTGGATTTGCTTAACGACCACATGATACGCTTAATGGCCATT